AAATGGCATACTAATTTAAACATGCCTAATTGGAAGCCATGGGGCCCCCTAAAAACGATAGAGACCATATTTAGTACTGTCTGCCGGTGTCCGTCAGTGGTTAGCTTGTTACCTATTGCTGCTGTTAAGAGCGTTCAACGACACATCTCTCGCAAAAACATAGCATGAAAGGAAGCGCAATGATTTCCCTTCTTTACCGCTATTTTCCTCCGCCAGTTCCTAGAATAGGGTTGAAATATAATCCGATCGATATTTTTCGGGTTCACATGTTCGCTCTATTTTCCTCCAAAGTTTTGCCTCTCCTTTAGGCATCGGCAGCTTGCAAACTTGCCGATGGCTGATGGCCCCGATAGTGCACACCGGTGGCCGATAAGGTAATTTGGGGGAATATGGCCCTACAAAATGAAAGCTGGTCATCACGGCCCATCAAGGTCGAATTTGACTTTTACAATGTTTCTAAAATATTGATTGATATCTCCTTTACTAAGTCTCAGTAAGGCATATGCAAAAAACCCCCTGGATATGGTGCCTTTGGATCTTTTTCGAATTGGTCCCAAGAGGCCCTACTACCCCTAAAGTTGGGGGAATATGGCCACTTCCGAAAAAACAACTCCAGGTTTTCCAGGAATGTGTGAAATATGCTGGAACATGCTGAGTGCCTTGAAACATAATAAATGATTCTCAGCAGTTGAAAAAGAAACACTAACTGCATTGAGGGCAAACAAAGAAGTCGACATCATTACATGACTCGAGGATCCTTTGTGGAAAGCAGGATTGCACCGCTTTTGCTTTTGAGTAACATTGCACGGAGTGTGAGACTATATCTAGAGACTGTGGGTGTAAGAGGAGTGATCAAGCATAGATTAAAGTGAACATGCGCTACGAGTGTAAAATAAGAGGTCTTACATTTCAGGAAAAAGTTGCGTCGTTTTTGCATGCATTGATAAATAGTGCCAAAAAAAAATCAGAGAAAGCCCTTTTTTTTGCACGAGGGATATTTACTTGCATTCACATTTTGTGCAAGGAAAATTTCTGGAGAATGTCGAGCGATGCGGATGTGCAGGAGGAGGTGCTTGAGTATATCCTCATACACGGCCTCCTCGTGTACTGCATATTTCGTCCAGATGTCCTGTACGTCTATCCATATATCCAGAGGAAGTGCATTGGATGATCTTTTGCAGCCTGAGATCCCACATGAAAGGAAGCTGACACTATCAATAGGTCAGTGCGGTGCTAACATGAAATGAAGGATGTGTCCGTATTACCCCAATTCGAGATGGCTATATACCCCCATATTGGCTAGCATGACAAAATTGACAACACTGTCTGCAAACCACCAGTGAAGGGGCTAGCACTTTGCATAAGCATTCTGAAGAGACCATAGAAGAACTTTGAAGAAATGGTTTCTGTATCCATGCTGCTATTAGGAAATGTATGCTTAAGTTGCTCAAGGCTCATATTAGTTTCAGTCATGAGTCAAAGAATCGCATGCATATGACTTTCAAGACATTGATGTATCCCGAATTCCTGTAAGAACTGGATCAATGAACGGGTCTAAAATACTTCGACAATTGCATGTACTCTTCGATAGAACTATTTTTTAAATTCGCCCAAACTTATTATTCAGTCTGTAAGGTGATTCATTGTGAAGGGCCATATTACCCCAATGGCCATATTTCCACAAGTTATCCTACTCGTGCATAGTGAAACCACGTAAAGCACGTCTGTGAGATTATGAGCCACACTAACGCTTTTCCCAATTCAGTCTCTGTTCGACTTTGCTGCAACTTTCGTGCAGATCTTCCTAACTTGTGCTCTCTCTGAATTTCAAGTTCGCGAAACTCACGCATGACAGCTGCATTGAGGCAGAGTGAGCCTGTTCGATTGGATAAAATAAAGGAACAAGTGCATATATGAACTTCACGCGAACTTCATTAAAATCCTCTGGAATGGAATTTCTTTTTTATTGCATCCAGCATTATCCATGTGATTGGTCTTCTGGAGGTCAAGTCATGTTTTTATAACTTAGGAGCTCATCAAAGAATTCCTTGAAGGTCAATCTTACTCCCGTTTCCCCTGATAATGTAGAAAACCCATTTCTGGGTATATGACGAGGGTGGAGTAAGATTTTGTGGCCTGACAGACATTGTATTCCTAGGTCCGTCATCATGCGTGGGTCAATTCGTTCAACGCTGCATATTCGAAATTGGGTGCCGTAAGTAGCGAGTTCTTCGGGAAAGGCATGTTCGCGTCACAGCTGAAGGGAAATCCATACACCGGCAGTAATAGTTAGCGACCACACAGTCGTTGAAGCCAGTTGAAATCGAAAGGACTTCTGACGAAACTGAAACGGAAACTTGGGAGCGAGCATCTTATTACTGAAATAGAAACGGCTGGGGCTGAAGTTGACAGGGCTTCTGCTGAATATCGTCCAGAAAACTCATATTCCTCCGAACGTATTTCTTCACTCAACACTAGGACGGAAGAGACGTCCAGGTAAAAACCACCTCACTTATTCAGTACATACAGCTCTCTTTTCAACGTATAATGAGGAGAATAAAAAATGATAATAAAATGCGCTAGGAACTCGAGCTCCCGAACGCAGACGGTAATTTCTGTGACCAGTGAAAACTTCTCGTAAAAGTAATATTGAAAAAAAAAAATAATCGAAGCAAAATGCAGAACACTTCAGTCCGTGCCAATCGCCTGAGAAACACCATTCAAATTGACAATAAAAAAAACGAAATCTGTAAATATTAAATAATAATCGAAGTGATAAAACTTTTGAATCAATCTTTGACTCAATTTTTACTGCAAAGAGGGACAGGAAGGAGTCCCAGTGGGGAGGCTCTGACGTACAAGTAGCACCTGCGGATAAAAATCCTGTCTGCAAGAAAGGTGCCTGAAGTGGGAGATGAAAAAAAAGGGGGAAAGGGAAAAAGTTTTAGGGGTCTGTTCTGTGCCGAGATTCCCAGAGGGGGGTTGGACAGGGAATTGAATTCCTCTTCCCCAACCCCATTGACGTCATGACCTGCATGCCTCATGCGAAGTTCTTCGCTCATTCAACTCTCACCTAACTTCAGTATTTTTTTTTTCCCCTTTTCCTCCCTTCATTTTGAAGTCCGCCTTCCTTCATTCCTTTATCTCCCAGGGCATACGGGAACTTGAACGAATCAACGCAAAGGGAGCTTTTTTTATTCTCTATCTCATTTTGGTTCTCTTCCTCTTCCACCGAAATCTTTCAATCGAACTTACCTGCTCACAAAATCACGAAATCGAATAAATGAATGAGACTATGTTCAAAATATTCATTGGTATTGACGGAACAAAATATTTAGGATTTACTCAAGTAATCTGTACTCCACCGCACTTTAAGAAATCAAACATATTTTCCATACAAATAGCATCTGCACAATTATAGAGCAAATAGTTGTAATTCCAGCCGTCTGCTCAGGCGAATCTTCTCGAGTTCCATGAGGTCACCATGATCACTAAGTCATTTTTGTTATTACAGGTTCAACATAATTTTTTACAAATTCATACCTGAAGGCTACACGCAAGAGAACAGGCAGAACTAATGGATCACCTCAAGGTGGAATATGTGTATTGTAAAAATAAAGTGGTCAAAAGCCCTAATAAAACACGCGTTTAAAATGAGAAATGAACCGCGAATTGAAGCGATAATGATGCTACGTCTTCTCAATTCCGCTAAGTGTAGCTACATATCTACCCATGATACCCCATTTAATCCGAGTTCTGTCCGTCTGCAAAAAAAATCTTCTGCAAAATATTTGTTGCTTGTACGTGCTTCCACTAGGTCCCGGCTTGGCCACGAGAGTAAAAAGGGCCGAAAATGCATTGAGTCAAGCGCAAATTACACTCGCAATTCATATCTGCTTGTACGATTTTCTCACCAGTTTAGCTGGAGCGCGCGCCGTTACAGTGGTGGTGGTTCGAAGTGTGTAAGTCGGACTCCCGCTTCCCATCTCTGTCGACCTGGTCCCTTATATTATTTTTCCCCTTTCCTAGTTCTCAATATGCTTTCACATAAATAATACTGCCAGAAATCGAATCACCCAGAAGTCAGGCGTTATCAAGAGTATCATATAAAATTATCCACACCATGATCGAATCTCGCCTTTACTTCGTCACGGCTCCAGTGGAGAGGAACAGAAATTGCGCTAGGTAATAACCCTGGAAAAAATGAAGTCTCCCTTTTGAAAGGATGGGCAAAAGCAAAGGTACAGTTTATATATCAATCTTATTCCCCCGGTAGTCCTATTCTATTATATAGTTTAAGCATGCAAAATATTTTTGGTTAGGGCAAAGGGTATCACGCTTCATAATCTACAGGGCATGGCAAAAAAGACCAACAACTTTTAACTTTAATATCTCTGCCCACACTGAAGCTAGCTCATATTTTCGCGAAACATTGACTTTGCATATATGAGAATGTTTCCAACGGAATCTCAGATTTTCATCCGAATTTGTTGGGAAGAAGCAATAATATCAACAATTCTTGAAAATAAAAACCATCTGCAAGAGACGACCAGCCCAAAGAATGAATTTGAATGGAAGAGGAGTTCAATGTAGTCCTGAACAGGAAAGACAGCGCTCGAGTAATTTATTCCATTCCACTACCAGCAGGAGTTCTTATTCATTACCCAATGTCTAATTCATTTTCAATTGATTGCATTGATTCGTTCCAATAAATTTGAATGAAAATTTGAGAATCATTTGGAACCATACTTATACAGGCATAGTGACTGTTTTCTGAGCTAGCTCCAGTATAGGCGGAGTTTAAAGTTCAAGTTAAAAGTCGTTGATCCTTTATTGCCATACCCTGTCGAACATGAGCCCCACGGGAGAATAGTTCAGTTAGGCCAACGGGAGAATAAATTAATTTCGCCTCCCATACGGCAGTCTTAACCAAAACCTTCCTCCCTTTCTCCAGTCCCTCCACACACACACATGCACAAGTACTTTCCTTGCGACGTGTTCTAAGTTAGTCTCACCTTGGCAGCATAGGAGATAGAGGCCCAGTTTCCGGACTCCAGATCGAGAGGCGCCTCGAGGCGTTGAAGGATGCTACTGGGGGAATCAGCCGGACCCTGAGCGAATGGTGTGTGTCTACATGAATGCAAAGAGAAATAAATATATTCAACAATGAAAGACATATCAGATCGTTTCTACCTGAGAAATAATCTGCTTTTTTTTTAAGTCCCAAGTGGAAATCAATGCAACTCTTCAATGATGCCACAAATGTGGAGGCGCCATGTATGATGAAAGCCAATCTATTCCTCTCATTTTTATTTTCCAACTCATTTTACTCCCAATGATAATTTTAGATATTTCAAGAGCATTCAGGGGAAATGGTGAAACAGGTCATCAGAGCAACAAAAATCTTGCCAGGAATAATGTCATATTCCCAGGAATAACCATTGTGAAAGCTGAATCAGTTTAACCTGGAACAAACTTTCATGTCATGCGATATACAGTACAAGCGATATATATGCGATATCCCAAACGCAACTTCAATCTGGCCCATAAAATAGTCTAAATGTCCAAGATGAACTTCAATGACAATCTGTTCCGTAATTTACGTAAAGGTTTCATAATTGACTCAATGCTGCTCGCACAACAAAGAGATCTAATTGAGTATGCAAGTAAGAGTAAGTAAGATCTAAGTGTTGCTCGAGAGGAACACATGGTGTATTGGATTGGACCTAATCTAGGATTGATGACACCGTCTTGTTGGATTTTTATGAAGTTGCCAAGAGGAACAAGGCCTGAATACTCAATAAATTACTGTGAACAATCAACATGCAAATCGAAATCGAAATAATATATTGAACACGAATAGAACCCCCTTCTGTGCCAGTTCCTAATTGAGGGTCTCATTATTCCTTGCTTTCAGCCTTCTTGGGTAGTCATCCTTGAGACGGTAAATTGTAGACGATAGCACACAGCTCTGAAGCGAAGTGAGCCGGTTACAAATCAGATCGTTGCCTATGGTGACATTAGGGACGCTTTCAGGTGGGGTTTGTGGGATTCAAACCACGACGACGATGACCACCACCACCACTCCCCCTCCCACTTAAAAAAAAAAGCAATTTGTCAAAACAAAATCCAATATTTGTTAGGGTTTAGGAAGTACAAGTCGTGAGTTTTACTTTGATTGAGCTTTACGCTTAATAAACTTAGTGGCAAAGCCCTTCCCATCGGAATATCCTTGATTCGTCTTCGGGAGCCATTATTCTAGCCTTTCCAAAAACTTCAGTTTTTAGTTCCAGATATGCATGGCCTGATGGTCAGCATGATTTCTTATAGGACTACAGTACAGTTCGCTAAATTGAAATCTAAGATGATATGAACTCAATACATTCGGTGGAAACGCAAAAATATCAGCGTCAAAATGGGACAGACATGCAGGTACAAATGCAATCAACTGTGACAATAGCCAGTTCATTCGAGCAGATTGAGATTATGTAAAGACGTGTCCCATTACCATTAATTGAGAAAAAAGAGCTTTTGAGCTCTCTGCGTTAGAATCGTGACAACCCAACGGAATTTTCTTTTCGTATCGAGACGATTCTTCGAGTTTCTACTCTCTTTATTATAAATAATCAATATAAATATCATCTCAAGGAAAAATTATTTAAAAAATACATGACATCGATTAAGGAAAAATGAGCGTGGGTCTCACCCTGCAAGCATGGTATACAGGAGGACACCAAGGCTCCAGATATCACAGGAAGCATCATAGCCCTGCTGCTTGAGGACCTCAGGGGCAACGAAATTGGCCGTGTAGCAGGGAGTCATGAGGAGACCATGCTTTTCGTCCCGCAGCTGCTTCGCAAATCCAAAGTCGCAAAGCCGCAGCGAGTCTGCCTTGCCTCCCTTCACGGCGTATACCAGGTTCGATGGCTTCAGGTCACGGTGGACCACCTAAAGAAATTCCTTATACATGCTTATTCACAAAAGAACAAAACTGCAAAACAAAGGATCTCAAAACCAAGCCTTGCTCCCATTCATGGCGTAAAGTCAGTACAATGATTTCAAGGCTTAGTGGACCAGAAGTCATCGTGTAGAAATTCTTTCTGTTCACGCCTACTCACAAAGCAACAAATTCACGAAGTTCGAGCATCTCCATCCTGTCCCATTCAAGACATACGGGCTATCAAACAGTTCCGGGACTGTAACTCCTTTACGATTGGATGCAAAAATGCCACTTCTCATGAGCACCTTGTGCTGGGTCCTGAAGGGGCATGGGCAAAACTTTCTGACTATTGGTTTTATTTAATTTTTTTTTTTCCCGCGAATTTTTCCCTGAATCGGGACTTTGGCAGACTTGGCGAAAATGGTTGAGGAATCGGATAAAACCAAATTGAACATTCAGAGCGCCATGAAAACTTTCGCAAAATTGGGGAAATGCCCCATAGAAACTTGTGGTATATTAGGTGCTGATGCTTATGGAACAGATGCTTCATACTGCTGCACACTATTCGACAAGCACTAATGATTAAAAAAGAAAGGTCATCAGAGACGACACAGGTCGGGTCAGCTCAAGAGAACTAACATTTCCTGGGGCATGGCACACTTGGTCCAAAGGTTCAAGCACTCGCAGCAGCATCGACCACCATGAAGGTCATGAGCAACATATTTACGTTACTAGTCAAACTTAAATGTCATGCATTTTTTTAATGCAACAAATCCAAACAACTTAATTTTGATTTACGAGGCATGCAATTTCTATATTAGGCAGGCTACACTGCATCGCTCCTGTCGGCCACATCGCAAAATAATAAAAATAACGATAGTAGTTAATAAACTCGCAGTTATTACGTACGAGATATTTAAGTCCCACGGATCTATTCATGTGCAAGTTAAATTCATTTTGCGTTGAAAGTTAATCAGTTGAAATGGAAATTCCGCGGGGGAAAAGAGCAACGGTGCGTGATTCGCTTCTGTGCTAGGGTGTCTGCAAGAGGCATGTTTGTATAGTGTGTAGCGTTTGTCTATCGCGACCCGAATCCCATCAGCAGAGTTGTAACGCAGTTAAGTAATGCATTACTGTAACACGCAAAAAAATATGGGAGCGGTAACGGTAATCGTTCCGTCTCGCGCGATGGAACGAGTACATTTCGCTCCTTTTTTGTCAAGTTTGTACTGGCCATCATTACCAATGAAAAACGAGGGCAAAAGTCTCCATTCCTGTCTTTGTTCCATTCATATATTTCTCCTTTCAGTTTTGATTGGCTGATAGGGATGAAAAAGAACTGAAATTGTACAGAATAACTTACTTAAAAAATGGGATTATTAACGGTAACCAGTTCACTTCATGCCAAAGCATCTGTAACTATAAATAATTCCCTTTCAAAAGTAACGTGCCCATCCCTGCGCTCGACTGAGTTGACGTTCCGTGCGTCGTTAGCGGTCAATTTTCTTTGAATCAACAAATATTTTAAAAAAAACGACAATACATGGAGAAATAACCTTTTTAATATGTTCTCGTTTTCATGAGCTACCTGGTACTTACGATAAATTGGTAGTGTTTGAAGCCTTGCTGGGGCATCCCAACTAAATCTAAAACACCACAAAATCGAACTCTAGACTCAGTCTACTAGACTCTAAATCGTGCAGATGCGTCTCTTGCTCATCTCTTTTTTTTTGGCAGCTTTCAGACTAGATTTGGATTTATTAATAGAACAGGTGAGGAACAGGATCCTCGTTTCACCATTTTCTGTGAGGACGGAGCGACTCTAATAAGATGATACTGTTCCCAGTCTCACCCCTTGAATTATCCTTGCCCCTCCCCCTTCCCCCGAAGCATAATGGGAACCAACATAAGAGTGGGCGAGGGCAGGTGTGTAGGTTGATACATGCATAATGGAATCGGAGGGCTGTCAGTACATAATAAAAGACTACCTTGTGACCCTCGATCTTTTCCCTCCACCCTGATCTTGCATGCAATTCATGAATAAATCTTCACCTCGACCCCAGCAGTCGTATTCTCTAAGAGAACTCCATTCTCGCAGTTCTCTGCGAGAATAGGGAACATAAAGAAAATAATTGCGAAATAGGTCTTTCGATACATTTATTCCATGACATTTTGTGGCCAATGGCGACAAAAAGGACGATCACATTTTTTTACAGGCAATGCAGTGAAACTGAGTGAATATGGATTAAAATTAAACCAAGGGGGGGGGGGGGGCGACACCGTTCAAGGTGGCAGAAAACCTACCTTTTTAATTATTGCCTGCCCCATCTCTATTTGAGTCAGTCGGAAGTGACATCCGGAGTAATACCAGGTGAGGCAAAAAAACGCGACGCTTTTTGAGATTTCTTGGAGTTCATGAGACAGCAGATAGCGTAATGTGTCTTAAGTTCGAAGTGTTTTATTTTAGTGGGTATGGGAATATCCATCGCAGGCACTCATTAGCAATGCCATATTGCTTTTTGGTTCATCATCGACTTCTTGGGTTCTTGAGAGATGAATAGGGTGCAAAATTATGGTATTCACACTTTTGGAGTCTTTTAGAGAGGAGATTTGACATTGTCAAATGTCAATGTCAAATTTGTACACCTAATTTTGAGAGGGGTGTTCCCAAGTTCGAGTAGAAGTGTTCCTAACTTCGGTATGGTGTGTTCTTAGTTCGTAATGTCTGTATGGTGAAAAGAGGAAACTACTCCATGTATTCTAATTGTTTTATGATGGACACACATCTTGTTGCCCAAAATAAAAAAGTTCAGTCGGCATAATTACAGAAGCTGTTAAGTTGAAACATTCCAGGATGGTATGTGAGATTTGTAATACTTTTTTTTTAGTGACTTGTTCATTTTCAGCAAAGCCAATGTGTTGGTTGAGTATTTTTTTTTCTCTTTTCACTGATTTTGGTCTAGTTTCCCAAAGGAACCCCACTGATTACATTCTTTCTTCCGTTGCGGATGAGTGACGACTAAGCACTCTAAGGAAAGCATTTACAGCACGCCTGCATCTGAAAGATGTTGTTTGATGTTTTGTGGATGGAAGTGCAGGAAAACCTGATTCAGGTGCAAGTACTTCTTAGGACACATGATAAACGCATCCTAAAAAAAAAGTTTTAGGCATGTCTTTATGTGCGCAACTCTTGCAAAGTTACTGAATGTTCATTCTTGGTAACATAATGCTTCATGAAGCGGGTAATGTGCTCGAACGCATTCGTTCTGGAAGGCTTCAAGCACCTCCTCATTATTAGTTCACTACTGAATTACATCCCTGAGGGGACCTGTGGGGTCATTTGAAGTACATTTGATGTGGATTCAAACACAGTGAAGAGCATTTGAGAAAAATTGCTGCATGGAACACGTCCTTTGCAAAGGACACCTCATGGTGCCTTCTGATTGTCAAGATTGACTGAGGTCTGCGATAAAATTGCGTCAAGAAGATTTTGCATTCGAGTAGAGCATTCACATCCATCCACGAATAAACTTTTATTATCTCTATTTCAAGGGTGGCATTTTACAGTTTTTCTAAATAACTGAACCCGTTTTTCATATCGCGACGGAAAATTTTCAAAACTTAATGTACGATCTCCGATACTTTGCGCTTTTTCCTTATATTCAAGGGTCTGACCGTCAACCGGGGAACGAGGGTGATTAAAAATAAGGCGTAATACTTCACCTGTAAACTGTGTAACTGGCAATACGTGGCTCTGAGAACTGTTCAGAAAAAAGACTATTTTCTACACCTCCTATATGTCCAATATCGAGAGTTCGTGAATCTTCTATTTTTTACTCGAATACACGAATCGTACTTTCTCTCTTTTGAAAACGGTGGAGCTTTTTTTTTATTAATAACCCTCAGTCACCAGGTCAACGACAGCGCCCTCTATCGAGATACTGCGCCATCTTGTGGAAGTGAAAAAAAAACCTCTTAGACTCATGAACCTCTCTGTCAAGTATCAGCTGGATCCAACTGTCCCTTGAAACGTTTAAGTTGAAAAATTCCTTGAATTCTGAGACGGTCGAGCACAGGTAATTACCTCACTTAAGGTGAAATGATCCATCTCTAAGCACCTTTAATTCACCTCTAAATGGGCATTGCACCACTTAGGCAAGCGTGCTGAAAAAAAGCTGGCAAACATTTCTACACCTTGTAATTGTCAAAAATCGATCGCGTATCCAATGTAATTTTTTTAATACTTCATTTATGAAACTGTTTCTCCCATAGAAAACGGAAAGCCTTTTTTTTTAAACCACCCTATATTTAAATTTAAAAAAAGATATCATTCAAATGTGAACAATTGACATCTACTCCTCACACCTGAGCTGATTTGAAATTATCAGGAAGCAGGGGAGAACCCATGCTGGCATCTAGTCCAGTAGTTCCATACAGTCTCTCCAGATTAGCATTTCCATTACATCCATGAATATCATGAGGATAATAAAGAATGGTATGAATAATATAAAATAAACATAACTAAATCTGTAATATTTCAACGTAATATTCGCCTTCATTCATGCCTTCAGGGAAAAGAGATGATGAACTTTTGTAGCGAAAGTAATATTCGCATATTTAAAGAAATTTCCGGAAAAAATCTTAGGGCTACTTGGAGTGGACAGACCCATTTATAACAATGAAATTACGATAATACGGAAGAATTTATAGAGTATATAGAGCTCTTCATCATACATATACAGGGTGGTCCAGGTCAAGTGCAACACAATTTTAGAGTCCCCCCCTAAACCAAATATTTGACTCATGTAGTCCAAATGTTATTCGTTTAAATCGTACGTTTCTGCTGTTCAATCCAACCCTGAATTTGCCTTTGTCGTTTGAACACCGGGGAAGAAAATGCCTATAAAGCCAGGTGGTCGTTAGTCGTAGAACTGCATGAACTTGGCCTGAAAAGACCAGACATTGAAGAGGCAGGCAAGAAGTTGAACTTGAGCAGAGCCTTCATCAAAAGGACATTGGATGGATACCTTGAGACAGGCTCTACCGCCTAACGATCTGGAGGCAGCAGGAAAACGACGAGACCGAAGAAATTGGTCAACCTAGTCAAATGCCGGATTTGGCGCAATCCCAACAGATCCATCAAGAAGATGGCGAAGGAAACGAATGTCTCGAGGTCGACAATGATGAGGTGGGCAAGAACGATCTATGGTTCACCTCCTACCGGCTTCAGAAGCGACAGCTCCTCAGTGCAGCCACCAAGAGGAAGAGACTGGCCCGAAGTCGTCAGATGCTGGAGAGGCTCAAGAATGGTTCGGCACCCAACATCGTCTTCTCGGACGGGAAATTATTCGCGGTGCAGGCGACGACCACAACAGGGAAAATGATCGGGTTTAGGCACGAAGTCGAGGGGAGATTCCCGACCATGCTGGAATCGTGTTCCGCATCCAGAAGCCGGCCTCCATCATTGCGTGGGCCGCTGTCACCAACAAGGGCAAGTGCATCCTCGTCTTCGTTCCCGAGGGCATCAAAATCAAAATCAAGGAAATTTACATAAAATCCATCCTATTCGACGTCCTGCTACCGTGGGCTCAATATCAGTTCGAGGATGAGCCTTGGACATACCAGCAGGACGGAGCAACGTCACATGAGGCTAATGTGAACCAGGACTGGTGTCAGAAGAATTTGACAGGGTTCATGACCATGGAGAAGTGGCCCCACGTCGTCTCCAGATCTGAACCCTCTTGACTACACCATGTGGTTGACCCTCGAGTCTAAGGCCTGTTCCAAGTCCCACCACAATCTGGATCATCTCAGACAAGACTTGGTTCGTATTTAACGAAATTCCAATGAAAGAGGTGAGGAACAGCATCAACAACTTCAAGTAGAGGTTGAAGGCCATAATGAAAGCCAACAGTGGCGACTTTGAAATTTACGTTATTTCTGGTCAATTATGTCAGGAACATGCTGTGCAAATTTCAAGTCAATAACACGTGTTGTTTCTAAGAAAATTGCAGTTTGGTTCGCAACACTTGAACATGGACCACCCTGTATGTTTCGAGCATCAACAACATGGCCAATTTGGGTAACGTTAAATACTAGTTCATGCATGAATAACCATAAAAGTGGTCCTCAGGTTTCATTGATCCGTCATCGGATTAATCTAAAATTTTCTTCACCCAAATATTAAACTGCACCTAATTGACTTTAAAGTTCGTTGCTAGTTTTTTAATGTTCTTTTGCCGGTACTTGAAATTAGTAATGGGTTATCGTTTCTCCGAGTACTGATAAAGTTGCGAAATTGAGAAATGTTGGCGTCAAAAACGGTTATTGAAGTTTCCCCAAATAGCAATGGAAAGAAATAGCCTTGAAGGATCTCTACGAGAGATATACATCAAAGAGCTGATACTCCCAAGAAGACAGAAAGCGGAAGACCAAGATTCTAATGAATGAAAAGAAGTACTTGCGACTATTGACTAGTAGCTAGGTGCAACTTAACTGCTACTAACTTCTTCAATAGTTACATTTGGTTCTCTTCAATCTTTCTGTTCTTGGCATTCCAATTTTTCTCACACAGAGAGTATATCACAAATTTGGGAGACATTTATCTTTTAGGACAGTTCTCTCTCCATTCCTGTTCCTCGTGTACAAGGATAGGATCTGTGGGAGTAGAATGGGCCTCGAGGGAGTCAGCATCGGTAGTATCGAAGTAAAGTACACTTCTCTTTATCGATGATGCCGTCCTTTTAGCCCAGTCTGAACAGGAGCTTCAGGGTGTGCTCGATCGGTTCGACTCGGAATGTACTGCACCCGGAATAAAATTGAGCGCCCTCAAAACACGGGTAATAGTCTTCTGAAGAAGTCCTGTACAATGCGCTTTACATGTTAGGCGGGCCCCAGGGAAATTTCCTTTAATGGGAAATTCTTCACCATCCGCCATACAGCCCAGACCTGGCTCCCTCAGACTTTCATCTCTTCAGACTGTTAAAGAGTAGTCTCGCCGGCCAAATTTCCAATCAGACGAGGACGTGCAAGGTACGTACGTATAGGTACGTTGTTGGTTCTACGCCCAACATAGCATATGAGACGGATATTCAAAATAACTAGTGAAACGCTGGAACAAA